CCAGGTATGTCAGATGGGTTAACAAGACCAGAAACTGGTCTGGAAAGCTTTTTACTCTCATCTCTGTTCTCCATGATAATCTAGAGATGGATAGGGAGGAGATATGGGGAAGAGAACTTTCCCCCATTTCCTTGTTCTGTTCATAGGCTCATACTTGTCAGTTGCCTGAAGAACCTGGCATGCTAGGGTATATATGACTAAAGTATATGTTCTTCATTACAAGAATCTTCCTTTACTATTTCAGAAAACTGACTTAGACCATCACATATTTCCTGATCCTTGTCAACGTCATTTATAAACTCTCTAGGGTCTAACCCACTTCAGTAAAACAATAGAGATCTTATAGTTTAAAAAGACATAGCCAGGGGTGCCCTGCTGGCTCAGTCAATAGGGCATGTTGGTCTGTGAGTTTGAGCCCCACGTTGGGCATAGAGCTTACTTAAAAAAAATTTTCTTTTAACTTTTGTTCTGCAAAACACCCTGTTAACTGCTAAGACCATTCAGTGGAGGAAAAGAGTCTTTTAAACAAATAGTCCTGGAAAGGCAAATGAATGAAGTTACCTTGCACCATATGCAAAAATTAAAAGAATAGATCAAAGATCTAAATGGGAAGAGCTAAAACTATAAAATGCTCAGAATAGAACATTGGGGGAGCCTCATTATATTGGATTTGACAATAATTTCTTGGATAGAATACCAAAAGTACAGACAAAAAAAGAAAAAATAGATACAATAGATCAAGGGACACTATTGCCAGAGTGAAAAGGCAACTCACATAATGGGAGAAAAATTTGTAAATCATCTGTTGATAAGGGATTAATATCCAGGAATTAATTAATATATATATTAATATATAAAGAACTCCTACCACTCAACAACAGTAAAACCACACAACCCAATTTAAAAATGCACAGGAGTGCTTTGGTGGCTCAGTCAGTTAAGCGTCTGACTTTAGCTCAGGTCATGATCTCATGTCTCGTGAGTTCGAGCCCTGCATCGGGCTCTATGCTCATAGCTCAGAGCCTGGAGCCTGCTTCCAATTCTGTGTCTCCCTGTCTCTCTGCCCCTCCCCAGCTTGCTCTCTCTCTCTCTCTCTCTCTCAAAAATATATAAACATTAAAAAATTTTTAAATAAAAATGTGCAAAAGGTATGAGTAGACATTTCTTCAAAGAAGAAATATAAATGACCAATAAGCACATGAAAAAATACTCAGCATCACTAATCATTAGGGAAATGCAAATCAAATTCACAGTGAGATACCCCTTCATACCCATTGGGACAGCTTTATTAAATAAACAGAAAATAATAAATATTGCTGAGGATGTGGAGAAATTGGAGTCCCATGTGCACTGTAAAATGATACAACAACTCCGGAAGAAGTTTGACAGATTCTTTAAAACTAAACATGCAGTTATACAACCCAGAACTTGGCAGTCATGGGCATTTAGTCTAGAGAAATAAAAACTTATATTGGCACAAACACCTGTACACTAATGTTCTATAGCTTCTGTGCTTGCAATAACCAAAAACTTGAGGGGTCCCCTGGGTGGCTCAGTCAGTTGAGTGTCTGACTCTTGATTTTGGCTCAGATCATGATACCAGGGTCGTGGGATCCAGGCCCATGTCAGGCTTCATGGAGGCTGCTTGGGATTGTCTTTCTTTCTGCCCATCTCCCCCACTCATGCATGCTCTCTCTCCTTCCCTCTCTCTCACCCTCCCTCCCTCCCTCTCTCTCTCTCTCTCAAATAAAAAAACAAAAACAAAAAAACAAAACCTTGAAACAATCCAGATGTCCTGTAATGGATGAATAAACAAATTTGTAGATGGTACTATAGAATACTACCCAATGGTAAAAGGTACCAAACTACTAATGAACACAAACCTTAGATGAATCTCCAGGGAATTATATTGAGTGCAAAAAAGGTTGTATATTTTTGATTCCATTGTATAGCATTTTGAAATGATAAAATTCTAGAAATGGAGAAAGGATTAGTGGTTTCCAGAGATTAGAAAGAAGGGTGTGGGAGAGGAAACTGGGTGTGCTTATAAAAGGGCAACAAGAAGAATTTTTGAGGTGATGCAACTCATGTCATATCAGCTCCTCTTTTAGGAACAACTATATGTTCTGTAAGTTGACTGTGGTGGTGATTGTACACATCTACTCGTGTGGTAAAATTGCATAAAACTAAATACACACACAGAGAGGAGTACATCTAAAACTGGTGAGATCTGGACGAAGTCAAGGATTGTATCAATGTCAATTTCTTGGTTGTTGATACTGTTCTGTGGTTATACCAGATGCTACCATTGGGGAGATAGAGTGAAAGATATACAAGATCTGTGTGTTACTTCTTACAATAGCATGTGAATTTGCCATTACCACCACCTGCCCCCCAAAAAGGCATAACTAATGTAAAAATTCTGAAGAAGCTCCTAAGCAGTTCCATTGGAAGGTAATAATACAGTTATCTATCCATCCACTTACTCTTTTCACCTCCCAAGGCTCCCCTTTAGGTTAAGAAAGGGATTTTCATTTATTATTAGGCAAGTGATACAGTATGGTTTTCCCAGAATTTGGATATAAGTTTGCCATATGAGAATTAAACTAGTAAAGATAAAATGATTTGGGGGAGTAGCCATTAGCCACCTTAGATGCTTTCACAATAAAAGAAGAAGAACAATGCATATTGAAAGATATCAGAGAGTAGCATGTCAGGAAGGGTGACTGCATTCTTCTAGAAATGCAGGAGCCCAGAGAAGAAGATAGCGTTAAGCTGTCCCGAGCCCTGCCTTGGAGGGAAGGTGCCTTGTCTTAACACAGGCATCGATCTGCTTGGCAAGTCTACCTGGCTGGGCTGCCCCTTACAGAGCATGTATTATGTCTGAAGTGCTCTGCCTGCATCGCCATTAATCCTCAGCACAATCCTACCAAATACAAGTTATCATCATAATTACAAAGGCTTAAGAGATAACACACACACACAGTGAGCGAAAGAAGTGGAGTTCAGTTCCATGTACTGCCATGCCATCTCCATTCCACTTAACTGTTTCTCTTTTAAGGAAATGAGCACATAAAAGTATTGTAGCTTAATGCCACAGTCTTAGAATTAACTCGTTAACTCTCTTCATTCTACTGCTTCCAAATTTTGATCTCCCATAAAATAGACCCTCCAATAAGGGGAGCCAGTGTGAGTATCTGACCGTTTGGCAGTTGTATTTTTCACTGTACGTTAATAAGTTGGCTTTGATTTATTTACCAGTCTGTTGTAAAAATGGTTAAGAGGCGTGAGTTCTTGAGGGCTGATGATCTTGGTACATTGCAGCATTCTGTCACTGCAAAAATATAAGATATTGGGCTTGGGTTAACCTCCAGAGTACTACCACCACCCTGCGAGGCCCCAGTCTTTGATGCTCTCCCTCTTTTAAAATTCAGTCTTCATGCAGCAAGATGCGGAGATGATGTTACAGATCCAGGCCCATAGAGTTGGCCATGGGCAAAGCTAACATTGAAAACTAGGTCTCTTAACCCTTATTCCAGTGCAACCATTTCATCTGGACTCATTCTGTCAGAGCATCCTATTAGGGGCAGATCTAGAATAACTGGTTTACATGCTCAGTCAACACTCTCACTTTTTGTAGTCACTCACTTGTTGGCTAATGATAAAATTATTTTTTTAGCAAAATTGATAGTTTGATTATAAACCCACGATTTTCTGGACATAAATAAATGAATAGACACTGACTTGATGAACCATAGTGAGTACACATCAAATGTTCATCATCCTCCTACATTATATAAACTGGGTAGCCATGCACTGCGGGTTCATACGATAGCTTTTATATATTGTATAGACTGTTAGGTATAAATAGTTGTATTTATTAGACTTCACCCCAGTTATGTCCACTGCCTGGTTTCGTACCTGGCACAAACAGAATGTCAATACTCGTGAACTGGATTGGATTGGACTAGACTGGATTAAATTGATTGAAAGTGGCTCTAATGGCTTTCAACTCCTAGATTCTGTCATTTATTTAACATCCCTGCCCAGTTAACTGTTTAGACAGCAGGATGACTGTTCAAAGACACATTATTAGGGTCAGGTGTCTGTCCCCTTGCCTGAAAGATCTACCTTATCAGGTAGGTCAGTTCTAGTCACCAAGACCTTCCTGACGCCTTGCAGGTCGCCATCCTCAATGGAGAGCCGTGTTTTTCCTCTGACCTCAGTACTTGGAAGATCCAGGGAGCGTCACCATGCAAAAGTAGATGTCAGGGAGGCGCTCAGATATGTAGCGGTGCTGGCTCAAACTTGTTACAATTTATTCATTTATTTTTGCTTTCAGATACAACATCCAGAATGCCTGGCATCTGCTCTTTTTCCCTATTGTGTTCGTTGGAGTTGATTTAAAATTGTACACAATGCATTGTTTTCCAGAACATTCATCTTTAGCGTCTTCTGAGATCGTTGCTCAATAACGTGTCATGAGAAAAGATCAGATTTGCAAAGCATTTGTCATTTCCTCCTGCATTGCTAATTTATTTAGTAACCATTTGTTTGCAGCTCTCTTGTCTGCCAAGCTGTAGACATATGTGTATGCCAGATCCACAGAGCCATAGACCCATAAATGTTAATAATCGCACTAAAAGTAGATTGGAATAAGCCTTTGGTACCTAGCTCTTCCGAAAGTCCTAGCTCCAAGCCCTTTTGTCCTTTTTAAAAAACACTAATGCTTGTATAAGGATAAATGTGTTTGCGAGAAATTTCCCCTTCAGTTCTCAACTAAGGCTCTGGAATATTTAAGCTAATTCTATATAACAGTCATCCACGTTAACTGCTCAAGGGATTTCCATATGAGTAAGTGGCAGTAATTGATTTGGATCATGATTTCATAAAGTACTTTCAGTTTTTATTTATAATTTTTCAGTTAAACTTCCTTTCAGTCCTGAAAGATTGAGATAAGTTTTTGCTTTATTTATTAATATCTGTTGATTTTATTTCAGTGGTACAGGCATGGATGGGAAGAAATGCAGCGTGTGGATGTTTTTACCTCTTGTATTTACTTTGTTTACTTCAGCTGGATTATGGATAGTGTGAGTATTCTCTTAGTTAATTAATTAAGGACTTAGGTACAATGTAGATGAGAAGGTAGTTTTGACGTAGAAGTGTGTTTAGAAGTACTTTAAAATAACATTTACTAATTCAACCCTGCTGAAGTCCCCATTTCTCTTCCCTTCTTCTGTTGCCCAAAGTAAATAGCTAGAGTGAGTAATAAATTACTGCAAAGCAGGGAGTGAAGGTCTTATTTTGTGTTCCTCTGTTCTTTCAGTAATAAACATTCTATAAAGTGATGATAGGGATTCGTTATTTGCAAGGTTCGCTCATTATACTAACATGCCAAGGATTCCACTCACAGTCTAGTTCATAGTCCAGCTTTTGAGTGTGACTGGGCTTGGTATGTTTATAAAATGGGTATCATCACATTGTAAGTCTTGGCTTATCATTGAATGCTCCCACTCTTGCTTATTACAAGTACTATTTCACTTCCAGCAAATTATTTTGGTTCCTTGCAGTTCACAAATAGAGGAATACTAATTTCTCACACACTCTTGAGAAATTAGAAAATTTGAATTCTAATTTTATTTTAGTTTTCCCAAAGTTATAAGGTCTCATTTCTTTGTTTTCCAGTTTCCAGATTATAATGATTACTATTGATTGGGGGTGTTTTAAAAATTAAAGAAATAGTGTTAGTAATCACATTTGAATTTTAAAGAGGTAAGTGATCTATAGGTAAACATAGTAAAAGAGATTTTCCCAGTTAAAAAAACAATGAATATGATGTAATGTGGTTAGTCTAGTCATTCTGGGAAACAAGTCTTTTTAAATAAATGTCTTTGTTTTATAAACTTCAGTTGTTTTTTCTTCATAGATACTTTATAGCTGTGGAAGATGACAAAATTTTCCCATTAAATTCAGCTGAAAGGTAAAGTTGATCTCTGGGTAATTGTCTTATTAATAGACTTAACAAAACTTTTGCCGTTGGTGAGGTTAAACTGTGCACAAGCAGCTGTACTTTAACTTGTATTTTTTATTTTCCAGGAAGCCTGGTGTGAAGCATGCACCATATATAAGGTAACTTGTTAGCTTCCCTCTGGGTTGTTGGATCTTAGAAGTTGGGAGAGTGTCTTAGTTTGAGCTACTATAACATAGTAGCATAGACTGTGAGGCTTAACAACAGAAGTTTATTTCTCCCAGCTCCCCTGGAGTCCCATCAGGATACCAGCAATCAGGTGTCAATGAGGGCCCTCCTCCCGGTCGCAGATGGCCATCCTCTCATCGTGTCCTCACGCAGCAGAAAGAGGAGGAGACAGTCCTCTGGAATCTCTTTAAAAAAATTTTTTTTAACATTTATTTATTTTTGAGAGACTGAGAGACAGAGCATGAGCAGGGGAGGGGCAGAGAGAGAGGGAGACACAGAATCCAAAGCAGGCTCCAGGCTCTGACCTGTCAGCACAGAGCCTGATGTGGGGTTCAAACTTATAAGCTATGAGATCATGACCCGAGCTGAAGTCGGACGCTTAACTGACTGAGCCACCCAGGCTCCCCTGGAATCTCTTTTATGAGGGCACTAATCCCGCTTGGAATGGCTTCTACTCTCGTGACCTAAGTAACTCCCAGAGCCCCCACCTAATAGTATCACATTGGGGGTTAGGATTTCAGCATATGAATTTTGAAGGGACACACAGACATTCAGTACATTGTAGGTGACAGATTCTAATACAGTAATAATAAAACATCATAATTTTTAAGTATTGCAGGTGATGAACCTCCTGCAAGCTGTGTGTTTAGTCAAGTTATGAACATGGCAGCGTTCCTAGGTAAGAAGAACGTAAAGAATGCTTTCTGTGCTTTGGTACATTTCTTTTTGTTTTACTGGCTTTTTGTTTTACCTTACTCTTCTCTTCCCTTCACCGTTTTTATCATTTCAGCGTATTCTTTTTTTTTTTTAATGTTTTATTTATTTCTAGGAGAGAGAGAGAGAGAGACAGTGTGAGCAGGGGAGGGTCAGAGAGAGAGGGAGTCACAGACTGAAACAGGCTCCAGGCTCTGAGCTGGCAGTCAACACAGAGCCCGACGCGGGGCTCGAACCCACGAACCGCGAGATCATGACCCAAGCGAAAGTCGGACGCTTAACCGACTAAGCCACCCAGGCGCCCCCATTTCAGTGTATTCTTGACTTTATTTTTTTTGCCGCTTGAGATAATATATTTCACGTGCCATAAAATCCAGCACGAGAATTCAATATTGTACAATAAATTTGCATTAAAAAAGAATGCTATATTTATTTCTTCCCCTGTAAGGATGACAAATGCATAGGCTTTGTGATAAACATTGATGTGTGTAGATACGGTCTTTAAATCTAAAGGTCCGCATTAACACGGGTGACTCAGTTTCCCATATGTATACACATACCACGATAGCAAATGGAGACGTAGGTTTTAAAAAAAAGAAGGAACCTTTGGTACTTATGTCTGGTCCCTGTTCCACACTTTTTCTTCAGAGCCCAAGACCATCACTTCATATACTGTCCCATTTGTTCTGTGAGTACTTCCCTGAGGATCGAGGGAACCAGCCATGCTCTCTGTCCTTGTCCACACTGACCTTGTATACCACCTCCCCATGGCCAGTCTCCTCAGTGTCTTTCATAGGGTCAGCTAACTATCACCGTCGGTGTGCTGTGGGGGATGAGCCAGTGACAGCTAAATCTTTCAACAACAGTTTTTTGGAAATGGTTCTTTTGGATGGCGAGCAGTTCACTCCAAGTAAGAAAGAAAGATGATGTTATTACTGAGACAGTCATCAAGCCTTCGTTGCACCTGTCCCCCAAAAGTGACCTGTTATTTCATCTGTGTAGAACTCCATCCCCAAAGGGTTCTACTCATTCTTAAGAAGCTATTTTTATTTTTTAATTTTTTTTTAATGTTTATTCATTTTTGAGAGAGAGACAGAGCATGAGCAGGGGAGGGGAGAGAGAGAGAGGGAGACACAGAATCTGAAGCAGGCTCCAGGCTCTGAGCTAGCTGTCAGCACAGAGCCCGATGCGGGGCTCAAACCCACGGACTGCAAGATTGTGACCTGAGCTGAAGTTGGACACTTAACCGACTGAGCCACCCAGGTGCCCCTTAAGATGCTATTTTTAAATGTTTGCTTTGGAAAAGGTAAGATGTATAGAACTCATTGGAAAATCAAGGAAGATAGTTGTTCCAACATGCAACACAGGCACAATCTTAGTTTAGAAAGTTCACAACCTGAGACACGTGGAGAATGTTCCCAGTGAGACCCAAGAGGCCTCTCTGGAACCTGCAGATTTCCCGGAGAAGCAACACTGCAGGGCTTGTCTGAAGTTAATAAGATTCCCCCCTGGAGCTGACTCTCTTGGGGTCAAAGCCTTTTACCACGCAGGCTTCCCCCAAACTTTGCCCATTTGCCTAAGCAGGAAGTGTCTATAAGGCGTGGACTGCTACGCCACCACTAAGGAGAAGGCTGGATAGAACCCTGATGCTGACGTTGCTGAGTCTTTGAAGAAGCTCCTCTCTTCATGCCCTCGACGGGCAGAATTTTCAAGTCCCAGCTATTCCTCAGTTCTGGGAAAAGGCGGTGCTCACATCCTGCCCCAGTCAGTCCGGTTTTGTCTTCGCTGCCTTCAGCCTCAGCTACCACTGAGCTTTAATAGTCACTCTTTTTTTTTTTTTCCCCTACTCTTGACACCAAGGCATAAGTGACTGCTCAGGAGATCTCTGCATTTAGTAGAACACAAAGCCCCGAGAGAGAATCTTGAATTGCAGAGTCAGGAACCTTTCCCAGCCTGTCTGCAGTCACACCACATAGGTCTGCAGGTTAGTACCTACTCATAGGGTCTTCCCCACGGGGTGCAATAATAACAGTAATTAATAGCAGTCATTTATATTCCAGGCACAGTGCTAAGTGCTTTGCAAATACTACCTTATCTAATCACGGTACACAGGAGACTGTGCTTATTAAAAAGCTGTCACAAGCTGTTTGTCCTCCATTTGGGCTTTAAAGAAACTCACGAACATGTTGGAAGCCACATATTGCTTCCCTCATATTCTTAAGACAAATTGAAACTTCCCAGTTGTCTTTAGTGTGTAATCTCAAAAATGTCAATTTGCACAGCTCACACATTTATCCAGTTATAAAGCTTATGATTAACTAATTATAAAAGCATTTCCAAAAACAGAATCATGAAAACAAGTTCTCCTCTTCCAGATGACATTCGTCATCATCTCATTCCCTGGTCTTCCCCTATTCCAGCAAGAGGCACTTAATAAGCCTTGCCTAGCTCTTGCTCTGAGGTATTGGAGTATCCAGGATTTATTCTTTATTATCTTCCATCATTTTTAGTGCCATCTGGGAGACACAAAACTGATGAAGATTAGTGTGCAGTGGGAGGAAACCAACAATTATGTATTTATCAACTCTGAGAGAGGAGGAATCCCTGTACGGACGATTCTTGCTCGAAATGGCAGAGGCTTCCATCTCCCCAGCCCTGTCCCTGCTGGACCTCAGACTATTACTTTAGACAGCATAGCTGACTTTATGGAACAACCCGGACTGCCTATAAATCACTGCTCTTTTCAGCCATACAGGTTATAATTTACAGTCTACAAATGAGCCAGTGTAGCGTTTATTAAAATCAGTTAGCAAAGATCTTCTGTCTTTTTGCTGTACTAATCAAAGATGGAACTCAATTGTTTTCTTTACACAATTAGGTTTGCACTTTGTCCTGAATCCACACTTTCGATCTCTCCTGGGGAGAAAAGAGACCTGAGACAAACTTCTTGACAGGAATATTCTTTTCTGCCCTGGAGAGGCTGTGAGGATAAAGCTGAGAGCTGAATGATTTCGGTCACCTAACAGCAGCTGTTCCCTTCCCTCAGCCAAAGCACATTGATTCTCGTGTTTGACTGCGGTCATAAATAGGAATTATTGATGCATAAACAATAAAGCTAAACAAATCAGAAAAGAATTTGGCCAGGCACCAGTTTAGAACTGCAATGAAGAGCTTCTATTTTGAGTTTAAACTTTAAACGCCCAACCAGGGCGCCTGGCTGGCTCAGTTTGGTAAATCATGCAACTCTTGATCTCAGGGTTGTGAGTTCAAGCCCCACATTGGGTGTGGAGCCTGATAGATAGATAGATAGATAGATAGATAGATAGAGACCCAGTTAACCTCAAAAGAAAACGTTTAGTAAAGAAAATAAGCAATTATTCTATCTGTGTTCTTTTAAAATAAAGAGGGGACACATGTAGCAAAGGACTGTTCTAAATATCATAAACAGAAGGGTGGGTTTTAAAAATCTTTTCTGGGGTGCCTGGGTGGCTCATTCAATTAAATGTCAGACTCTTGATTTCAGCCCAGGTCATGGATCTCACAGTTCGTGAGTTTGAGCCCCATATCGGGCTCTGCACCAGCTGTGTAGAGGCTGCATGGGATTCCCTCTCTCTCTGCCCCTCCCCTGCTAGTGCTTGTCTCTCTTGAAGTAAAGAAATAAAAACTAAAACACTTTTAAAAATATTTAAAAAGTCTTTTCTAAAACTATTCACGAAATCTAAAATTTTTAATGAAACTAAGAGATGTATCTTCTGATCAGAACATTAATGTAGTAAAAAAAAATTAGTCATCATATATAAACATGGCTTTGAAATCACCCCACTGCCCAGAAATCTTTTTCAAAGATGTGTAATTAAATCACTACTTGGTTGAAAAAAAGACTTTGTAACCAATAATCTTAATCTGCCTCCATTAAGCCTGTTGATAAAACTGGTAAAGGACCAGAATCTTACTATTTCCAACACCTTAAACCTTCAACTAGAATCTTTCTTTTTCTTTTCTTTCCTTCCTTCCTTCCTTCCTTCCTTCCTTCCTTCCTTCCTTCCTTTCTTTCTTTCTTTTTTTATGTAACCTCTATGCCCAATGTGGGGCCGGAACTCATAATCCTGAGATCAAGAGTCGCATGCTCTCCTGACTGAGCCAACCAGGCGCCCACAGAATCTATTTTTAAAGGAAATTTTGCCTAGTCCGAGGCGATTAATAATGAGGCTAATAGGTAAAGAGGGCAGAGTGTGATGTTTGGACTGCTGCTCTGGAAGTTAGGAGTGTTGAGTCGAATTCATGTCTCCGCGTAGGTTTCTGTTTCCTGCTTAATTTCATCATCTGTTCATGATAAATGATTTATCATCATATTATAAATGGGAAGGCTAGCAACGCTGGGACCAGAAGATGATACATGTCCTGTGTTTACTGGGGAGAAATGAGTAACACAGAGAATGGCCACTGATCCTCTTCCTCTGGGCACAGTGGACCAAACTGAGTGGGTGGGTCAAGATGAAGAGGCTTCTGTGTCTGCTTCAGCCATGTTTTAGGGCTGAAGCCAAGTTCTAGTACAATCCTATCCCCCCTAACTGAATGACATCCAGATGGTTGCCAGAGCAAAACTTTTCACGAGTCATTTTTAAAAGAAATGAAATGTGGTGCCTCAGTATCTTGTCATTATGCCCTAATACCCATATGCAGTTAACAGCAGGTGTCTCCCATGGTGCCCTGTGTTGAGGCTTCTGGTCTTAATCTAGCGACCTCTTTACCTGATGGTCACTGTGTGTCAGAGGGCTTACGTGGAATTTCTCCTCTCCTTACTTCCTGCTCCTATTCCCATCCTCAAAAGTAGTAAGACATTGTGCTGATTGTTTTCATCCTCTAGGATACTTGTCATTATTAATAGACTTCAGATATAACTTCTAACTAGGTCACTCAAACCATTAGGTTTGGACATTGTCAACTCAAGTGTATCATTTATTAATTCTACGACCACTAGTGGGAATTAGGTAAAATGCGAATATACCAAAAGCTAAATTAGAGCTAAACAATTGACATTTAATAAATTATGGTTTATTGTTATTTTGTTTCTAAAATCCAAATTTTTAAAAATATTTATTTATTTTGAGAGAAAGAGTGAGCAGTGGAGGGGCAGAGAGAGGAGGAGAGAAAATCCCAAGCGGGCACCACGCTGTCAGCACAGAGCCCAATGCAGGGCTCCATCTAACAGACCATGAGATCATGACCTGAGCTGAAATCAAGAGTCGGACGCTTAAATAACTGAGCCACCCAGGTGCCCCTCTAAAATCCATATATTAACCAAGTTGCACCTGGAACTGAAATTCAACTTGCTGAGCTTAGCTTTGCAGCTTGAAACTATGAAATTCAGTAAATTTAGGAAATGGAAATTTATGGATGGGTTTTCTTTATTAATGACTACTATAAGGGCCTGTAATGAAGATAAAACCTTTAGCAAATAATTACCTACTTAATTGCTGTATAAATAGGTAATTCTTGAATTTCTAATTATCTTCCCTGCTCAGCCTTAATGTCAAAATAAATTGTCTTAGGAAGTAGTAAGTGCATTTCCTTATATGTAGTTATAATTTATATTATCTGCAAGTATTTTTTCTCTTGTTTGTAGACTAACCTCTCCCAGCTTTTTATATAAACATGAAAATATCCCTGCACTAAGCAATTAATAAAAGGGAATTCTTATATTAGTGACTTGAGTGTGGGCTGCCCTCAATAGTAAGTGGGCTGACTTACTATTAGAAGTCAGCTTTGAAATTTAGGTAACTTCCTTCATTCTCTCTCAGATACCCTCATAACAATATGCTTCAAAAGATGGAGTAATTAACATCAAAGAAGAATTGAGCTTTCTTAATGTAATCAGTATGATTTTTAGTGCATACCAAACTCCCAAATCTGCTGTGTTAAAATTCAGATTTCATAAGTTGGTTACTGTAACTGCTGTAATTTAGATCGACTATTTTTGTCCTTTGACAATGGATACCTCCAGTAGAATTAGAGGGAAGAAGGGATAATAGAGCAACGAAGGGATTTGTACACTTGCCTTGTCTTCCTTCCTCTCCCCAGGAATGATTTATTGTGCAGGGACCCGTAGGTTTGTCTGGATGTGGATCCGGGTATTCTTCCCAGTGTTTTCCTGCTGTGTCTGTTCCAACAAGGTTAAATTTAAGGGTGGTTGAATTACTGAATTCTCATGCCAGGGGCTGTCTTTACCCCTGTTTTATTTGCTGTATCGGGTCTCTGCGATGTTCTCCTAAGCCAGTGTGTCGCATGCTGACCTTGGTTTTGAAAACCCTGAGGACAACACTAGTAGCAGCTCTGTCACCCTCGCACCACCTGGTGACACACAGCCCCTGCTGCTTCGGCTCCTCTCTGTTTCCCTCTTATTACGCATGATAAAACATCCAAGTAACCATAGGCATCGCATGAAGAATTTCTTTTAAAAATCATCTGTCATTTCAGAGATTTAAAAATGTACCTTGACGAGAGGCACCTCAGTGGCTCAGTCAGTTAAGCATCCGACTCTTGGTTTTGGTTCAGGTCATGATCTCACAGTTCGTGGGATTGAGCCCCACGTCAGGTTCTGCATGGAACATGGAACCTGCTTGGGATTCTCTCTCTCCTCTCTCTCTGCCCCTCCCCTGCTCGTGTTTTCTCTCTCTCTCAAAATAAATAAACATTTTTAAAAATAAATAAAAAATAAAAAAAGTACCATGACAAATGGTACTTTAATCTTGCACATGGTGGCTTTGGAAGAACTCTGCTTCACAGTCCGGCTGTATTATTGACATTTTTAAACTTTAACATTTTGTTTTATCCCCAGCACTTGTCGTAGCTGTTCTCCGCTTCATACAACTGAAACCAAAGGTTTTAAATCCATGGCTGAATATTAGTGGACTGGTGGCGCTGTGTCTGGCTTCCTTTGGAATGACCTTACTTGGTAATTTTCAGGTACTTCATTTGGTCTTTTTCACCACTTTCTCACCCTTCATCTGTATGGTTATCATAGCCGCTGATTCTGCATAAATCCTTTCAAAAGTGCTAATAGTGGTTCCTGATAAGCACAGGGTCTCCAGCAGTCAGCCCTTCTGGTCTTCACCTGGACTGCCTACATTCGCACTGTGTATGTGAGGGTGCTTGCTACGCACTGGAAGTAAAACCATGGCTACGGGAAAAAGAGCTACGTTTAAAATAGCTGTGCAGGGACGAAGCGTCTGACTGCAGCTTGGGTCATGATCTCAGGGTTCATGGGTTCAAGCCCCACATCGGGCTCTGTGCTGACAGCTTGGAGCCTGGAGCCTGCTTTGGATTCTGTGTCTCTCTCTCTCTCTGCCCCTCCCCCACTCACACTGTGTGGGTGTGGGTGTGGGTGTGTGTGTCTCAAAAATAAACATTAAAAAATTTTTTAAATAGCTGTGTATTTTATACAAAGGATTTCAAAGTGCTTTATGCTTTTTTTGGTAACAAGTTGTCTGCTAATGTAACTTTCTAGAAAATTAATAGGATCATTGCCTTTCTAAAATTAAACACTGAACATCATTTTTGGATGAAAGCTTGCATTTCATAATAGCAAGCTTACATGGGAATCAAGGTTGAAAACCCAGAATTGTGGGTCGTCTGGATGGCTCAGTGAGTTGGGCTTTTGACTTTAGCTCAGGTCATGATTTTGCGGTTTGTGGGTTCGAGCCCCACGTCAGGCTCTGTGCTGACATCTCAGGGTCCGGAGCCTGCTTTGATTCTGTGTCTCCTTTCTCTCTGCCCCTACCCTGCTTACACTCTCTCTCTCTCTCTCTCAAAAATATATAAACATAAAATTTTTTTTTAAAAACCCAGAATTTCTCTAGAACGTCTATGACTTGTGTAAAGATACACTAAGTCTTCTTCCCAGAAATTTAGAAGCCCAAGGACACAACATTTAAAAATATTTTCCCTCGCCAATACCATTATCCAACTCTTGACTCAAATGACTCTACTTGTGAGATAGACAAGGAGACCCCTCCCCTCCCCCCACCCAACTGGAAAAGTACTTGTCTGGTTTCCCTGCTTCCCTTCCCTTCCCAAAGTCCTCCAACCTGTGCTTTATGCCACAGTTAGAAACCTCTTCCCTGCAGTCAGACACGAATCCTGACACTTCTCTCCTGTCCGTGGACTGAAATCCAGATGGCACAGGCATTCAAGAAAATATGCTAGTGGATTTTCTAAGACTGTCTCTTGTTCTAACCCTCAGTCCTGATAATCGATTAAACCAGAAACGCTCATTCCCTGGCACTTCCCCTGGCACACAGTAGCAACTGAATGAGTAGTTTTGAATTGATGGCTTCTTTGACAGGCCGTCCCACTAGCTCTTCTGTTCTAGGTCTCATCCCACCTCAAGCCACACTTACTGAGCTGCTGCTACGCTCTGTGCTGCCAGTGCTGATGTTGTGCTCACTATCAATTCTCTCACAGGACTTGGATGGAAGTTACTGAGTAGACGTTTTGTTCTTTCCAAAGTGCCGAGATTGGGTTGTTTTGGTGAACCACAAATGCTCAAAACCATGAATGATCACACCACGCATGAAGAACACTGTCTGGAATATCTACAGAGAATACATAGGACACCACAAATGAGTTGCCTGTGAAGAAACAGGTGGCTAGTTTATGGGATAGGTGACAGACTTTTCTATCCATACTTTTTATAATTTTTAAAAGTTTGAACCATGTAATTATATTACTATTTTGAAGTTAAGTTAAAACTAATAAATGAATAGATTGTGTGTAGCGTGGAAAACTAATTTCCTAGAAGTAAAATTTAATCTGAGGAATCGTTATTTAAAATGAGTTTTGAAAATATGCCTTTCGAACTAAGAGGAAAAAAAGGTGGCTTCTTCCAAAGAAGAGGAAAAAAGACTACAGCCAAAAACAATAGAAAAAGTTGTCAAAGGAAAGCAATATTGATTTGAGGCAACCATTATTCACAGCAATGTCAAACAATAAAACATCTGAAGGCAACGGCAATTCAAAACAATATTTTACCATGTTGTAAGAGCCATCTCTTCAACTACAGATTTTATTTTCCCGTGTGTAATTAAAAATATATATAAAACAAGGTGCCTGGGTGGCTCAGTCAGGGTCCAACTCTTAGCTCAGCTCAGGTCATGATCTCAGGATCATGAGTTCAAGTCCTGCATTGAAAAAAATAGATAACATTGCTAAAGGTGTTTTAAGTGACAAATATATATTTTTTAGAGGTGTTTTTTTTTTTTTTTTTTGAGAGAGGGAGACAGAGGAGCTGAAGCAGGCTCCAGGGTGACCTGTCAGCACAGAGCCTGATGAAGGGCTCGAGCCCACAAAATGTGAGATCATGACCCAAGCAGAAGTCAGGTCTTAACTGACTGAGCCACCCAGGCGCCCCAATGACCAATATATATTTTTAATTAGTAGGTAATGGAGAGTTTACATCTTGAACCCTCAAATGAAATAAACTGAGTGGGTCTCCTTTAACCTATTAACTCTATAAAAGCCTTCACCAGGAATCTTCAAACACTAACGTCCTTTAATGGGTCTACAAATATGGCAAAAGCTATTAGGTGGCAATTTTCTTATTATAAAAGGAAAATAAAACAAAATCCCATTAACAACGAATGGGTCACATTACACAGGCCAGTGTTGTATGCGTAAGTGTTACTGGCTGTGTATGTCAGTAAAATCTTGACCTGCTTAGAATTGGTCCTCTTCAATCAGTAAATACACAGCCAGATCCAGGGCTCATTTCGTAGTCTGGAAAATAAAGTTTGCGGTGTATGTTTGTAGAAACTGACATTTCTCCTTTTTGTGTAACTCTCCTGCTTTTTTCTTTTACTTCTCCATGCTTTTCTGGAAATTAAATTCAAGAAATACATTACCACTGCCTGAGTGGTTATTCTAAACAAATGTTTTGAGGTTTGGAAGTACTATTTATCTCCGTTCTACCCTCAGAGTTCAACCCATTTGAGAGCAAACACAAAGAGCCAGTGGAGATGAAGGATATTCTACTCTTTCCAAAATCTCTCATCGCATTATTGAGATATCTATTGCTTTACATGTTTTTTCTCCCATCACGTCTTTTCTAAGTGGGCCTCCTTGTATTATCTGTTCATCCCTTAGCTCACGAATGATGAAGAAATCCATAATGTCGGAACTTCCTTGACCTTTGGATTTGGCACGTTGACCTGCTGGATCCAGGCTGCGTTGACACTCAAAGTCAACATCAAGAATGAGGGACGGAAAGTTGGGATTCCACGAGTTATTCTCTCAGCATCTATCACTCTGTGCGTGGTCCTCTGTATCCTTTGAATGTGAAAAGGTTCTTTGACAGGGAGATTAAAACACACATATGTAGATGAGAAAACTGCCATTTCTGATTGATTAGGATATACTGTCAGATTATCTCCGAATCTTAGGCAAAAGGGATAAGTAAATGGATATAAAGATCCAGACTCACAGACCTGAGGAGATAGAGAACTAAAATTAAAACAAGCAGAATGGTTTCATGCATTCTCCTTATTATTAGTGATGGAAAAGTTTCCCTTTCTGAAAAACACAGAATGCATAATGAAAATTGTGATTTTTTTCCCCATGCCATCTTTTAAAAAGTTAATTTATGACTTTATTAATGACCCTGTTATTTCATTTAATTTAACTTGTGAAGGAGAATGTGGCAGGCCTCTGATTTCACACCCTGGCATTCAACTTACCCATTAAGTAACAAGGAGTGAAACCAGGAAAAGGCAGAGGAGAGCCTTCTGTTTAACCCCAAACAGATCCCAGAGAGACTAGTCCCGGAGGGATCTCAGTGACCCCACCTACTGGTGGCATGGCCCAATAGAAGCTGGCCAATTCCAGTGCGACCACTGAGATCAGCCACTCATTCCGTGGGGCAGTGATCTCAAGTATTCACTCCAATAGGTTCTCCTCAGGAAACCAGAGAGGAAGGGAATAAGGTTCCTAGGTGGTAGAATGTATAGCTAGCCCAATTACACATCTTTGCTCATATAATAGCCAACATTATTGGGCACTCATAATGTGCTAGGCATTGTTCTAAGCACTTTAAATGTATCAGCTTCTTTAATCCTCATTTTACAAGTACGAATAGTAAGGACAGAGATTAATTTATCCAACATCACTGTCTGTCTGCGGTGATCTCCACTTAAACTCAGGCACAGTTCTTGAACTCAACCGCCATACCCTCTTGCCTGAGGGAAAGTGGCTTTAAAATATGAAAATATTTATTGTTCGGAGACATCTTGTAGTTACTGGAGTATTTGGGGTCTTTATTTCTTCTTCCTTCACTAACTGCCAAATGTATGTTTGTTTGTTTGTTTGTTTGTTTGTTTCAAGTTCTTGAGCATATTAGAGAATATTTAAGGGCTGGAAAATCAAGCCAGAAATCTTGCTGAATGCTAGCCACCTGATGAAATATCTTATGAGTAAAAATGCCAGAATTCTACTAGTATGAGATTTGAAAATTTACCCCTTCCTCATTAAGTAATATTGCTTTGCCAGTATTTTGAGACCTCCGTTGGAAGAGTATGTACAGACTTGAAATTATTCTGAGTTTTCAGCTTATATGAAACAATTCTGATCCATGTTGTTTCTGAACATTCAGAACCCTGTCCAGGTTCCCAGATGAATGGATCCAGGACTAGTCAGGAGAGCAAAGTTTGGCTGAAGTAGTTTCACTGTATTCTTTTACTCTCTGAAAATTTCCCAAGATTTTAAGTCTGAAGACAAAACTAATTCTAAGGGAGCATTTCTGATTTTTCTTTAAAAATGTATTTAGTCCTTGGCCTCTTGGCTTTTCACTGAAGGATGCTTTGAAACATCTTCCTTCCTAGCTCCTATACTTCATGTATACTGGTGTGTGTGTGTGTGTGTGTGTGTGTGTGTGTGTGTGTGTGTGTACACACTCCACACATTTTCAGACATGGGACTCTCATTTGTTTGTTTTAATAGTGAAAACTAGACTGAAGAGGAAGAAGAGCCACTTTTACATTACTAGCACTGCAGAGACAAAGCTTATATGTAGGTGCTTGGTGATTTAATACATTCAAAATTATTTCTGCAGATAAAATGAGGACTGTAAATCCATAGTCATTTGCAGTGATTTTTCTTTTTTAAAGGTAAGTTTACTTTTCTGGCCAACTACTTTCTTAGGCATTGTAATCCTCTTGCTAATCTCAGAGTCTGTTAGGCAGCCATAGAGTTGAATGCCTGGCCTGGAAGCCAGAGTCATTGTATTTGAATCACATACCTATGTGATCTCAGGCAAGTTACTTAACCATTTGGCCTCAGTTTCCCTAGTTTTAAATGAACTGATGATAATAGGATTGTTGTGAGGATTAAGTTAGACTTTCCATGGAAGCACCAGAAGCATGTCCAGCACAAATGAAGAGCTCAACAATGCTATTTCGTATTATTCATGCAAGCGTTGCGTTCAGCAAGCCATCAAGCTAAGTTTTGCTGATGAGGGGGGAGAGTGAGACTTTTCTTGTAACCTGTCCTTGTCCAGAAAAGAGCTCAGTTTTAATGTGGCATTTGGGGGTGCTTTCCTTGACTGTTCCTCCCCAGATTTCATCCTCATGGCCCAAGGCATCCACATGTATGCAGCCAGGGTCCAGTGGGGTCTGGTCATGTGCTTCCTGTCTTATTTTGGCACCTTTGCTGTGGAGTTCCGGCATTACCGTTATGAGATTGTCTGCTCCGAATACCAGGAGAATTTCCTGAGCTTCTCAGAAAGCCTGTCCGAAGCTTCTGAATATCAAACCGACCAGGTGTAACCTATCAGTTTTCCCTTGCCGTTGAGGTGGGTGTGGTGTGGGGAGGGGCCAGGACACGCCCACAGGACTTGGTACAGAACCTCATAACAACATTTTACACACACGTTCTTGGCCACATTTGCCAAATGAGCTTTTCAGGGCAAATTATTTCTTTAACGAATAAGCACAAGCCCTTTTGTGTCGAAACACACGCTGTTACACTGAAAATATATGCACGACAGAGCAAGAAGCTTGTGCGTGATCACTTCTTTTTTCCCTCTCTCTCCCAATTCTCCCTGCTCTTCTCATTGTCTTCACGTATTTCAGACATCGTGTTCACCCTACCACAGAGTAGGGCAGGCCAAATGTATCATGGGAATAATGCCAACTCCCAAAGTTGCCTTCAGATCCAAAGGGCTTGGAACCAGCTCATGAGGAAGTTCTGAATCTGGCACTTGAATGGATTGAGTATCATCTAACTGGATGGAAACAGAGACGTGACCCTGTGTGACCTATGGAATGGCCTGGGGTCAAGAACTTCCCCACAAAAACTCCCTTCATCATTGTTCAGTGGTTGGTTGTGCGGAGTCAATGAAAGGAATATGCTACAAGCCCACTACCACGATTTGGACTTTATTGTAACTGAGAAATACTTCCAAATGTGAATATTTGTAGGGACATGGTCTGCGAGGCACAGAACAAGATAGGGGCAGCGAGGGCACACTTTTGTTTTTGTTTCTGTGATGTGCCAGTAGACACAGCTTTTGTTTTATATTTCATGGTTTGCCTTCCTTTTTTCTTTAAGTAACTACTGTGGGTCTCCCAAGGCCTCATGGACAAAGAAGATGTAGGCCAAATGTGAGAGCCGAACTTGTTTTAGGTTAACCATGATACAAGAAAAAAAAAAAAAAACAGGTGACCTGCAGGCTTAATTTGCTGCTTTTATGTTTGAGGCTAAGAAAATGTTCACAGAAAAGCACAAAGAAATATTTGTGGAGGTAATAAAAAAGCTCCTGCTGGACATTTATAAAAAGAGTCTTAGAACATCTTGTTACAAGTCCAGATCAAGGGAGGGCTTCTTCATATGTAGCAATAGCTCCGATTTGGTATTTTGGCAGGGGGCGGGGAGTTAAGGGCTTTTTCGTACTTGGAATTTGTAGAAACCAATTAAAAGATGACCCTTCCCCCAAGAACAAACTGGCACAGTTGATGCCCTACTGCCCAGCACATGCTTTCCACCTGCTAAGAGTTTCGAACGCCAACTCTAGGCCTGGACTCTGGACGCTGTGCTTCATGATGAGCAGAATCCTTAGTTCAAAATGTCTTGGAGTGGGCCAAGAAGTCCTCACATTTACTTCACAGGGGGCTAGGATCTCATGGAATATAATGTGAAGGAAAAAAAAAGCATTGTTCTTTAATTCTTCCCAAACTCAGACTCTTGAGGAAGGACTTGTGACTTATAATCTCTATTTCTCTCTGCCTCCCAGCCCTGTGCCGGGCACATACAGGTGCTCAACAAATGTCTGTTCAATAGAATTACTGGTCATTTAAGTGCAAGAAAAAGGAGTATCAGAGAAAGATTCAAAGATGAAAGACAGAATAGATGACTTTCAAGCAAGACAGGAATGGAAGAGGTCCTCAAGAAGGGTCAGGCAGGAGGGTGAGAAAACCTGTAAGAGAGAGGCTAACACATGAGGAAGAGAATCAAGCAGAGAGCATTCTCCTAGGAAAAAGGCATCTTACTGTAAATAGTCCAAGGTGACATTTATTATTTTGGAATACTGCTTTTGGGTTTGTTTTTTCATTTTTATATTTTAAAGATTTTATCAGAAAACAAAGATTTATGAAGTTTTCTTTTAATCTACACAATCCAAATTAAACAGCTTTTGGTGATGCACTGTACACTTTCTTAAGAGTATATCTAATAGCACATTTTAGCCAAATCAAGCAAAGACTGGCATTTCATCGGGATCTGACCACTAAATAAAATTCTTTTATGCAGAAGTATGATTGGTCTCGTACACTAACATTTCTTCTGTAATAGTGAAGCATGTGTAAACTCCATCGGACATTCTGTTGAAAATATACTTCAGTGTTACGTTGGTAGCCTATTTCTAAGGTGTTTTCCAACACCAAAAACCAATTCTCTGATTCTTTGGACATCAACTGGATGCCCTACAATTCAGGTCAATTCCAACACAACCCAGTTATTGTCAGACCCCTCAGAGTTAAGGTCTCTGTCCAAGGCTGCCCTCACTCACTCCAGATGCCAGTCACAAGGCTTGGGTCCCAGGCTACCCACACTTGTGTCCAACTTGACTATAAAATTAGGGAGGTTCCCACTACTCCCTTCCCTTTTAAGTTGGATAGTTAGCGAAAATGGCTCCCAGAACTCCAGAAAACACTGCATCCATGTGCCTGCTTACTATAAAGGATATAACGCAAGAACAACCAAAACAAAGAGACAGAGAGGGCAGGTAAGGGGAGGGATACGGGGGGCGTGCCATCCTCCCAGCATTCAGAAGTGTTCACCGACCCAGAAGCCTTCAGAATCTCCCTGTTCAAGTTTATAGAGCTTGGGGCCCCTGGGTGGCTCAGTTAGGTGAGCATCCAACTTCAGCTGAGACACTGATTGTGCGGTTCCTGAGTTGGAGCCCCATGTCCGGCTCTGTGCTGACAGCACGGAGCCTGGAATCTGCTTTGGAGTTTGTCTCCTTCTCTCTGCCCCTCCTCTGTTCACGCTCTGTCTCTCTCTTAAAAATAAACATTTTAAAAACGTGGGGAAAAAAAGTTTGTAAAGCTCAATTTCCAACACCCTCATTCCATTTGCTTCCACAGGCTGGTCAGGATGTCTGATCACTTGGTCTTTCTGGTGACCAGCTCAATCCTGAGCATATCTGGGGGCCCCACCATAAGTGACCTTGTTAGCATAAATTTGGGCTCCTTATGAAACAAAAGTCACTCCTATCACTCAGGAGATGTCAAGTTTTAGCAGCTCTGTGGCAGGAACCTAGGACAAAAACCAAATATATTTTTGTGTTATACCACACATATAAATACAGATCAAGATTACAGAACCTTCTAGGAATTAAGAACCATAGGACTCTTCTCGGAGGCCAAGACCAGGGAATCTGCATTTAGAATGAGCACCCCTGGAGGATCTAATACAGATGGTCTGGAGAACGAAGTTTGAAATATACTGAACTTGGTTTTGATAGTCCAACTAGGCCTTTTGAAAAAAAGTTCTCTCCTATTTTTATTTATTTTTTAATTAATTTGAGAGAGAGAGAACGCGAGCAGGGATGGAGTAGAGAGAGAGGGAGAGAGACAATCCCAAGCAAGCTCCATGCTGTCAGTGCAGAGCCCAGCTCAGGATCTCAATTTCATGAACTGTGAGATCATGACCTGAGCCGAAACCAAGAGCTTAACTGACTGAGCCACCCAGGTGCCCCAGGAGAGAAATATTTTTGAAACTGTGTTAACATTTTTATTTGGTTTTTTGTTTTTTATTTTTTTTGTATGTTTATTTATTATTGTGACAGAGAAACAAGAGCATGAGTGGGGCAGGGGCAGAGAGAGGAGACACAGAATCCGAAGCAGCCTTCAGGCTCTAAGCTAGCTATCAGCACAGAACCTGACGCGGGGCTTGAACCCACGAACCGTGAGCTCATGACCTGAGCTAAAGTCAGACGCTTAACTGACTGACTAAGTGACCCAGGCACCCCAGAATCATGTTAATGTTTTAAAGGTTCAGTTGTTTTTTATTTAATGGAGAACTGACAGTGAGTTGAAGGTTTACCACCTGTGTTATTTACTGAGTTTTCTTTGCTGCTGGGATGGGAAAGTAAAACCTTCGTATCCTAGATTTTGTAGTCTGTTGTTGGTTGTAATGGAGGGTGGAACACCACTGTTAATTTGTGCTTAGGCATTGTGTCAGTCAGGATAGGTTGGGTTTTGCTGTCCCAAAATAAAACGGATAAAACTAAGCTTCATTTCTCCTACTAGATGTGTTTCCAGAGTTAGCAAGGGGGCCACGCTCAGGGCTAGGACTGAGACCCTGGCTGATAGGGGCTGTATCTCAACATGTGCTTCTGCCACATTTGCCGACAGTCATCAAGAAAATATGGCAGACTGCTCACTGGTTCTTAAAGATTCTGCTATGAAGTGACATCACTTAGCTTACATTCATTGGTGAGGGTAAATGGCACAGTCATATCTGAGAGCCGCTCTCCCGTGTGCCCAGATAGAACATTTCTATGAACAGCCTAGTGACTGCCACAGGGTTCACATCAAGCTTTTAAGACTTCTTTGGTCATTATTATTGCCTTGAAGCAGGAGTAATAAAGAATCAGTAAAGAACCATCATCATACAGAAATAGGGGAAAGGTGCTATCTATGGAGTTGAGATAGATCACCAAAATACAAATATGAAGAACCATCCAAATAATAAATGAGAGAAAAGCAATTCTACTGAACCTAGGACAATCTTGACCCCATATACGTTGTATATCCCCCAAGCAATGGCAATCAAGAGTTTGAGGGGAGAGAAGAATTCTGCATATGAAATAAGTTGGATTTCACAATCCTCAGCTTCATATCAGTTTAGATTCCAATTACACTCTTCCAAGAAATAGCAAATATCCAAGAATGAAGTCCAAAGAAGGGAGTGTGGAGGAGAAGGCTAGGTTCCTCACTGGAAAAGCAAAGATCTTTTCCTCAGCATAAAATATGCTTTTATTTCCCCTATCTTAAAAAACAAACAAACAAACAAACAAAACCCGGGGCGCCTGGCTGACTCAGTTGGTGGAGCGTGCGATCTTAATCTCGGGGTCATGAGTTCAAGCCTTATGTTGTGTGTAGAGATTTCTTAAATAATAAAACTTAAAAGAAAAAAGTCCCAGGGCGCCTGGCTGGCTCAGTCGTAGACCATGCAACTTTTGATCTCAAGGGTCATTAGTTTGAGCCCTACTTTGGGAAGATCTTTTTTTTTAAGTCCCATTTGCTGTCTGTAGGCCCTCTGTCCCAATTCTCTCTTGAACCCACTCCAATCACTGAGCTCTTGCTCCTACCATTTCATGGAACTGCTTTACTCAGAGACCTTGTGATGTTACACACAATGGTTAGTTCTTTTACTACCTTATCTAGACCCATTAGCAATACTTCAGAATTTGATCAATCCCTACCCCCCTTCTCTGCTTAACATGTTCGCTTGGCTTCCAGAAATTGTTCCCTCTTAATTGGCCTCCTGCTTCACTGTCCACACCACCTCCTTTGCTGGACCTTCTCCCTGACCTGACATCCTCACACTGGAGTGTCCCATGCCCCCGTCCTTGGAACTCTGCCCTTCCTTTCTACATCCACTGTGCTGGTGACTTCATCCAGTCTTCTTGTTTTAAATATCACCAGATGCTGACCTCTCCCAACTTCACCAGCCCAGACTTCTCTCCTGTATATTCACCTACCTTTGTGACATCTCCCCTTGTTATCTCAAGTTTAATAAGCCCTGATCTTATCCCTTGAAACTCGTTCCTCTCAGAGTCGTCCCGTCTAAGTGAAGAACAGCTCATCTTCTAGCTGCTCTGAGTGAAGCCTCAAATCTTGAAGTAGCTCTTTGTTCTCTCACACTCCACATCTGTCAGCCAATCCAGTCTGCTTGATCTTCACATTATTCTAGAATCCATGCACTGCTACCCTGTCATCCAGGCACCTTCCATCCCTCCTGGGCTTTTATAATAGCCCACAAAAACTGGTCT